TTTGTGGGACCGTGACCCCAAATATTAGAAAAAAGAGCGTGGCTGTCGCCACGCCCCCGAAAAAATTTTTTACAAAACTAATCTGAATTTTTAAAAATTTGTAAAAGTTATTTTAATTGTCCACAAGTATTAACAAGTCACTTGCACAATTATGTAAAAAGAAGCTAAAAGCTAACAAATCAAACAAGTATAGTGAGATTTAGTCAATAACTAGTACAGCATGACAACTTCTTATACAAAAGAGATAAGAAAGAGCTTGCCGTATAAATTCTTTCCAGTTAGGGCTGTATCCAAAAACACAGCTTATCCTTCTAGCCAGTCATCATCATCCCATTATCTCACTCAGTGACAACACCAGATGCGTCCCAAGCAGTGAGAAATGGAAAAAGCCTAGTGATAGAATCCAAACATAGGATGCAAGCTATTCTGCAGGTTTCGAGAGATAAAAGCAGTACTGACGAGAGAAGCATGTTCAATCGAAGTGGCCTTTTCAGATGTATGTATACTATAATTGAGAGCATAGAACGCTGATTCAATCCTGTCTTCCTTACCTGCGGAAAGTTTGTGGACGAGGGGAATGAGCGTTGATTGGAGCAAATAACTGAATATTTAGTTAGAAGAAAATGAGTTGCTTAAATTTTAGCCCTCATTTGAAGCAGTCAAGTGTGGTATATTTTTGTTATCTCAAAGAATTTTTTGAATTGATTGCACTGATAATCAACAGTTCCACATCAAAGCGCTAGAAAGAAGTTTACGACTATTTTTGTCCTACTTGCACATTCGATTTTTTGTTCCAATAAACGCCATAACTCTTGCCCATAAACGCTATGCAGATTAGAAGGGCAGATTTGGAATTAGCATTTTGTGCTCCAATACGGTGTACATCGTCTGACCACTTCGATCAAACATCTAGGTAAAACTAGTACCTGAACTTTTTACATGCATACGATTGGATACTTCACAATGGAGCCATCGCCTAGGCGGCAGCTAAATCACTTGTGACTCACGAATTCAGCACTAGGTGCTGACTCAGACCGTGCCACTCCGAACGGACCAATCACCGTCCTGGAGTACGGTAGTACGGTGTTCGCAGTTTTTCTACCATTTTTGATTTTGACCATTCAGAAGCCAGATTAGAGCTACATTTTAAATCCACCTTTCATAGTTGTTATTGTTTTTCGCATACCTACATAATGGACTGGTTGTGAGAAGTAATAAGCACTTCTAAAAAGCCTAGACCCTTGTCATTCCGGTCCTGCACATCTATGCAAACTCACGCTCCCTGAAAAAACAATACTTCCGCTTTTTTGACTAACTCAAATACGGGATAAAAATTGAAGAGAAAGCTTAATATTATATGGGACAATAAATTAGTTTAGGCTTCCTTGTATGTCTTTCAACCCAACAACGCCAATGTGTTCTGAGTAATTTCAACATCACCCTACATTAGCCCAATTTCTTCAAAGAATCACTATGACTACTCGGTCATACACAGAATACTTTCTGCAAACCATCACCGTTCATAGTGTAATACAGAGTCATTATCTTCATTTATATACCCTTTGAAATCACAAACATATAGCTAAAACGCAGATTGTAACAGAATATCCAGTCAACAGCAAGGGAGGTCTAAGTTCTAATCATGGTCATCATCAGCATAACAAAGTAGGATTACATTAGACAACAATTCCCTGAGAATCGTAGAAACTATTGAACTACAGCAGAGGTAACGAATGCAGGAGGGATGAGTTGAGGGAGATCTCCAAACAAGCACGCTGAGTACCATCAGAGTGAGTAAAGTGTTATCATCTCTTGTGGGTAGTCGCCTTCAGGAGTTTCAAGTATCAGTGGTATACCATCCAGCCTCTCATCCTCCATGATACACTTGAATCCTTTCTTCCCAATCTTACCTCTGCCTATCTTTTCGTGTCGATCAACACGGCAACCAAGCGCCCCTGGAAATAATCTCTAGCTAAACTTCCATTTCTTCAAGAATCGCTCACCTTTGGAGTCATTTAGATGGAACGCTTTGAGATACTTCATCCCGATTATGCTATCAAACTTTTTCATAGTCTCGTTATACGTTTCTTGCGTCCGTATATCATAGCCTATAAGATGAACGTCAAAGGGGACCCAAGAAATAAGCCATCCAGAACAAAAATCGGAAGGATGGACTTCAGGAGTCAGTAGGAAGTAAGAGGATGCATAAAATTACAGAACATTTGTCAGAAAGTGTTCTTCAGTCTGTTTCCAACTTCTTCCAGCTCGAAAAACACCTTGTGAAAATTATTTAGTGTGCTCAAGCACTCGTTGAAGACAGTAACTCGCGAACATTGCAACTGCGAGCTTTTCACACCTACGGCCTTCTTAAAAAGTTCAAAAAGTATTTTTCTGACGTTTCTCCCGGCCTTGGAGATTGAGGGGTTGGAGGATCCCGCTAAAACCAGCGACTGCCTGCAGAAAGCTGTAACTCCCATTCTGGCGGAAACTGGCTGATCCTCCGGCAGAAAATCGCAACTAATTGGCGGGAATCACTCGTCTAGCCTCTCCAAAAACCTCCAAAGCCGCGAAAAGCCATAATAGCATTGTTTCAAATTTTCAAGCATAGCTAGATGGAACGCATCCAGAAGGCTACGGATGCAAACCTCGCAAATGCATTTTTTCCGAGCCATTGCCTTCACAAAAAAATAACCACCATATCTATAAAATCAGACCAAAGGTTAAATCAAAATCTCAAACTTCTATTCGAAATTTGGATAATCTCCAGAAAACATATGATCGCGCCCCTCCCCTCGAAAATCGATCATGGAATTTTTGAAATTACTTATAAAATTGTGCAAGTAATTTGTTCATACTTGTAAATAAACAGATAACTTTTAAAATTTTTAAAAACTGAGCTTAGTTTTAAAGAAGAATTTTTTTTAGGGGACGTGGATGGCGCCACCCCCTTTTTCTCAGATTTCAGAGCTATGGTCCCGCGAGAATTTGGAAAGCACAAAAAAATTCTTAGGAGTGCGCGGTTGAGGTCACGCACATTATTCAGGAATAAAATATTTCCCCTCCCCCCTCCCCTGAAGAAATTCTTGGGTAGGCGATTGCTACATAGCAACTAGCGCTTGAAGAATACTAACCTGCTGCAAATATATGACAGGTGTCGATGCAGACTCCAACACGATTTTTATTCTTTACCTGAAATAAATCTTCATCTCCTAGAGCTAAGCAAAAATAACTTTGAAATCCAACGCTTCTAATAACTTGCATTGAGTATAATATCCCGAATTTCCTCGAAGGTTGACCCGATCGTGTTGCCCTGTCCAGCCATGGTTTCAATTACTGAACGTTTTTTATTCATCAAAAATGGAAGTTTTGCTGCCAACGGCATACCCAACGTTATGAATTCTGTAGATTCCACTATGTAGTCGATTGTTTCAGCAACTGTTTTGCAACATTCTTCAGTCGTACATAATCCCGTAGTCGAGCCTAGAAACAATTTGTAATGAAGAGCGATAGAGATGATGTGATACTCATTGATTGTTGTACTTCACTCGGCGATTTTCGGCTAGTAGATGCACAAATTACCTGGATGGAAATTGTAGTAATAGATACCAAGACGTTCGCATCGCTTGCACTCATCCAACATTGCTTCGCGTGTTTTCTCTAATTTTTCGGGATCAGCTGTGCCTGGGTTCATCAAGTATGAACCATGTGGTAGTATCTGACTCAGGGGAAATCCGGTTACCTGAATTCTGTAAAGCTAGTCACACGTTTCTAAAGTAATGAAAATTCATTAAAGCTAACAAAACTTTCCATTTTGGCAAGTCGCTACTCGCATGACAAATGCTTTGAAGCAAACTGAATGAGTTTTGTCAGATCTGCTTGAAAACCCGTATACAAATTTATTTTTATCCATCTTTTTTGAAGAAACAGATGGGTGAGCGTTTATTAAAAAAAAAGATTATAGCGTCTACTGCTTTAGGAAAACCGAAACTTTTCGCCTCTTTGATAGATCACTTACTCATCGAACCTCATAAAAATAAAAAATTTCTAAACTATGCAAGAGACACTTTCTTTGGAGTTGTAAACCTCTCTTCTTCTACGTTTGAACTTCTAAGAAGTTTTTTATAGAGAAACTTCATTGAGA